GCAGCATGTGATAGAAATGCATAATTACTTAACAAGCATGTATGAAGCGGGAGATGCAAGATCTGCTCTAATCGCCATGGTTCAGAAACTTCAACATGCCAAGAACGGTGTTGACATTGTCTCCGAAAGCCGGGTAAGTTTATATATTTTTTTTAATTAATCACCTAAAACCATTTTTTTTTTCTCTTTTGAAAATAACCAAAACCGTTTTAAGAGGTACATTCTAAGTTTTGACATGTTATCTAGTTTGGTACTTAGAATGTAAGCTTTGGAGTTAGTTTTCTAACTAAATGTATAGTTGGAGAGAGAGTTACTAGTATCTTAAGTATTAAATTTATTTATTTTAACTATCCAAATACAAATCAGATACGAACACATTTCGCAAGACCTAACTGGAGGAAGGTTTTTGCCGAATTGTCAAGCAAACACGAAGCTTGTCGAATAGGTAATTATTGTTTAAAGCAATTCTATCATTTTTTTCTATTTACATTTTGAGAATAGTTCCAGTATTTTGTATACATTTGCGATAATTTATTAACATGTGTGGTTTCTTTCAGGTGTGTTCTACTGTGGAAGTCCAACACTGGTTCGACCACTTAAAGAACTTTGTCAGGAATTTAGTCTCGAGTCATCCACCCGTTTTACTTTCCACAAGGAAAACTTTTAACCACAAATTAAATCTTAATCTTATATTAAGTAAAAACTTAAAGAAACAGATTTTGATTATGCTCAATCAGATTGGGAGTAATGACCACATGCAGTTTGTAATTAGTTGGTGATTTAATGTAAAGTAATTAACCCCGTAAAAAATGCAAAGCTACATTTTGATTAAGAAAACCGCAAGTAACCTTTGCTTCAATTGTTTACAACAATGTATATTAAGTGTGGTGTTTTTTTTTTTTTTAATTTGCTGTCTTAGTCAAAATATTTGATACTGAGAAAACTCTTACAAATGCACAAGCTCTTTTTCTATATGTTTTCACTTTTTTGTTTTGTTTTTTACTTTAAATTTCCTTTTTATTCCATTCATGAGAGATACCATTTCACATTGATTACTAAACAAACAAATGTTTACATTATACAAACAAATATTTACATTATACAAAAAATGTAAATATTTTATTATATTACATTGATCATGAAAAATTTGCTTTTTCTGACTATGTTTTTGAAAAGAGAGAATTAACTTTGGATCGGAGCTGATAAATAAATACAAAAACTGTTTATAAACGTGCATATGATTAAACTATGTAAAACTAACATGTGCCGACAAAAAAACACACTAATATATCTTATACAACATATAGAAAAATTTCTCAACATTCAAGCTACAAGATATTGTCATGTCTCATCTAATTTTTTGATATTTTTTTAATTTATTTATTAAAAGAAAAAAAAATTAAGTGTTTTTAATAACTTTAGCAATTAATCGTAATAACTTACAATTAAGTGTTTGTGTATATTTATATAATTCATATGTAAATTACAATATATCTTTTATATAAATTTATGTATAGAAAATAGATATTTATTTATCAAAACCAATAATAATTATATCCTATAATTTTTTTTTATATAGGTAACTGTGATTTTAAAATTAAAAATTTATAAAAGAAAACTTTTAATGAAAACAAACATAACATGAACAAAAAAAAAAGAAAATGATGTGAGAAGATTAAAGAATGATTTTAAGATTTTTAGGGATGTTAAATCCAACAAGTCTGATTGGAGAATTTAAACATTTTTTTTAAATGTTTTCATAGATTTTAAAGCTAATTTACCAATAGTTCTCTAATGTAATTGAAAAATTTTGTGTTGGACAACGTAACATTCCTAACCAAGACTCTCGAAATAAAACTTTAGTCCACCACAAATTGTAAATCTAGAAAAATACACTACAAGAAAACACAGTTTAGCGTCGGCAAAATTCGATGCTAAATCGATGCTAAAGTCCTTTAGCATCGACTTAGCGTCGAATGACAATTCGACGCTAATCTGTCGATTCGACGCTAATCTGTCGACGCTAAACCGACTTCGACGCTAAATCGACGCTAAATTAGCGTCGAATTACTTTCGACGCTAATTCGATGCTATAGATCGATGCTAATTCGACGCTATTTTAGCGTCGATTTAGCATCGACATAAGACGGTCCGATGCTAAATCGACGCTATTTTAGCATTAGAAAAATCGACGCTAAAACGATGCTATTTCGATGCTAAATCGACGCTAATTTAGTATCGAAATAGCATCGACTGTTTTCGACGCTAGTTTAGCGTCGATTTAGCATCGGATCCGTCTTATGTCGATGCTAAATCGACGCTAATATAACGTCATTTTAGCGTCGAATTAGCATCGAACTATGATATTTTTTTTTTATTTAAAAATATTTTTAATAAATTTCAAAATTTTTTAAAAATTAGAAAATTTTATATTTAAAAGCGAAATAAAAACAGAAATTGTTTAAAAACACTGAAAATGCAAACAGAAATTACAATTTTAACGTTCGTCTCTTAAATTAATGTTGTCTCTATATTCATTCATCATTGCTTCGGCTTCTTCGTCGAACTGCGGTTGACTTGTAGCTGGAGTTGGCTGTGCAGGACGCGGTATCTGGGAGAGGGCAACAGCTAAAGTCGGGTTATCCACTGCAATAATGTCCATCAGATTGGTCAATACCGTGAGTTGGCCTTGCATCGAACTGTTGGTTGACCGCATATCCGCTTGTTCCGTCTTTAGCCGCTCAATCTCAGCATTAATAGCGGTCAACTGCGTTGCCAACTGCGGGTCAGAAGAACTCGGAGTGTAACTATACCGAGCGGTAGAAGAAGCTGCTGGGAGATCGGCGATG